TATATATATATATATATATATATGATAACTTTTATTTATATAATAAAAAATTCATTACTTTACTTGTTAATTGTTATTGTTGTAAGTAAGGATGCATGGCTTAATTCTCAACCCATCTTTTATTTTTGACAAATTTTTAATCTTACTTTTATATGACATATCAAAATTGTACAATTGCATACATGATGAATCTCATTTACTCAATTCTTGAGAGGCCAAAATTGCAAAATTTTCATACTCAAGAGACTAAAAGTACAATTAAATTTAAATAAAATATTTTGAAAAAGAGATGCAATAAAAAACACCTTTCAAATATCAAATTAAATATTTATTTAATAAAATATATTTTTTTAGTTTGAATTTTACATTAACCAACAATAAATCCTTTAGTTATTTTAAAAGACATGCTGTCTCTGCTGTCTGTATTAACCTTGTGATTGGCTTTAGTATTCAAAGAGTATTTTCTTGATAGATAATTATGTAATTGATGCAACATATCCATCAAATGATCGACTAGTTTTTGTAAAAAAAATAATCTGGTCGATCACTTTTAGTATCTCTTTATCCAACATATTTTTCTTTTCACATTAGTACATGAAATATCTATAATATATGCTGACTGGAAATTATTATGTTCATGTGGCTGCCGTATACAAGGGGACTTAAAAAACATTTATAAAATGAGTTAAAATAAAAGGTATAAAAGTAAAGGACATTCTAAGGCTATTTCCTTTATTTTTTTTTTCTTCTAAAAAACAGAAAATAGAACAAATTGTTGGTTTTGTAATAAATACTTTGACCCAATGTTTCCAAAATTAAATTGGCCAATCATTTAATTTGGACATTCAAGTAAACCTATAAATTAATATAAAAACCATAATATTTATGTGGTCAAATAAATAATTAATAATAAGAGCAATAATTGTAAACAAATACAACTTTACATTTGATTTAGCAGGAGCATGCTGCAACTGTATAGTGCTTATCTATATTCTAGAGGTTTTCAACTGGAAAACCAGTAACAGGCCTAATTTCTGAAGCCAAACTACGCAACTCAGCTACCTCCTCATCAGTTAGTCTCCAACCAAGTGAACCTCTGAACTCCTCAGCTTGTTCTGCTGTCTTGGCTCCAGGAATTGGCACAACATTGCCTTGTGCCACCAGCCAGTTCAGGGACACCTGACAAGAATAATTTGGTATATTATTATCAAAATTGAGGCCTAGGAAATGTTCCAAAAGATATCATGTGGTTTTTATCAGATATATTCTAATGTTACATGCATGAGGCTTGGTTGAATTGAGAAGACAAAGTCACATATATTATACTAGTACTTGGCTATGGTGGTAGTCGAATTCTAACTCTTGAGAATACAGAAAACTCAAATTGAGAGGAGATGCTTACTTATTTAGTGTCTATCAAACTTCTAAAGGAGATTCTCCCCGTGTTCAATGGGAAAAATCCTTGATAATAAACAAAAGAAACACGTATGTAATGAAATTAAAGAGCAGCAATAACCTGTGTAGGAGTTTTATCATATTTCTCTCCAATTTCACCGATCTTGTTAAGCAAAGGTTGGAGCTGCAAAATAAATACACACATGAGGAATTAACTAATGCGCCTGTAAATTATTAGATCTGAATATATCAGAAGAGCAGTACTCTTGTTAGGAATTCTGGAGTATAAATTCTGCCTCGGGGCCCACTTGGTGGTTTATCAGGAGTGTACTTTCCAGTGAGAACACCTGTTTAAGATAAGGGTTATTGTATAAGTATTTATAGCAAGTTTCATTGGATTGAGTTGTAATATATTATCCAAGTATCAGAACACCTGTTTAAGATAAGGATATATGATATAAAGAATAAAACATTTTGCTGTATAGAGTTGGAATATTATTATAGATATGCTTTGATTAGTATTATTTTTTCCAAATATTGTTTTGGAAGTAGGTTAAGCTTATGAGTAAGTCATGTTTACTCTCTCTACACAAGATTAAGACTGGAGTTTGAAAATCCACTAATTCTCAGAATAATAATTATAAGAGTAAATTACATTGATACTCTATGAGATTTCATGAAATTGCACACAAACTCCTTTTTTAATGTTTACAATAACATCCTTTACAGATGTCATAGTGTAATTTTTTTCAAATAATTAAGGAGAGTTAATGTAATTTTTAAGGAGTGTCAGTGTAAAGTTTTTCAAACAATAAAAGGAGATTAGTGTATAGATAGAAAAAATAAGAAGTCTGTGTGCAAAATTTCACAAAACTTCAAGAGGTGTCTATGTAATTTACTCTAATAATAATTATAATAATAATCATTCATGCGAAAGTTAAGATAGGCCAAAAAAGAAAAAAACCCAGAAGAGGGGTGCAGCATTATTTCAAGCATTAAAGATCAAGTGCCTATGCTTCTGACAGAGGTTTCCTTGTGTCGAGTTTCGGCAAACCAACTCTTATGCTATGTTTAAGTAACTAAACTTGTGTGCTGGATTATAAATATTATTTTGCTATGCATCTGTGGTTTTGGTAGATAAGTTTAATGCAAAAAAATAAAAATAAAAAAATTATAGAATAGACATACAAAAATGTCACAAAGAAAAGGAGTTCACCTTGAGCAATTGGTGAATAGGCAATTATTGTAATCCCAAGTTCATCACAGGCAGCCTTTACACCTTTTTCTTCAGGGGCTCGATAGATGAGGCTGTAGTTTACTTGGTTTGAAGCTAATGGAATACCTCTCTTCTTGAGCTTCTCATAAGCTTCACGCAGTCGCTTCTCTAATTATATAGAAAAATAGATGTTAAATATTATGCTTATAGAACTGGAAGAGAACTAGCTTAATACCATTTTAATATTGTATTACTAAAATTCTGTTACAGATATAGTGCATACCAGTAACAGTGACAGGTTTGAACAGAAATAGTGGAACTCTTCCTCACTCTCTCTATAGAAACAACATAAAAAGAGGAAATATAGAGTATCTCAGGCAATTTGAGAGGCCAGGATCTCTCCCAACCAGCTATCTGATTCTCTATATTCCTCCTTTTGATACACCTTAATAATCATCAATCTAACTATGTGCTTACTAACATATATGCTCAGACTTTTATACCAATCATTCATCTTGGCACATTAAGATGTTATACATCAAGGGAATCGCCTTTTTTTAATGGTAGAAGAGGTTCGCAGTTTTGCAGAATATTGAAGACTTCAAGACAGATAATAGTCAAAGAATTACCACTATAGTTTGAAACACCAACAGCCTTTACAAGTCCCTTTTCAACAGCATCACCCAGACCATCAATATATCCTGAAAAATAGTTGAGGAACTAAGCATTTGTTCAATCTGATAATGGATAAGCAAATAGACATCTGATTCCATAAGCCTTATTAAATGAATGGTTCAATGAAATAATTTTGCTACGCGGAGCAACCTTCATTTCCCCAAACTCCAGGCCTGAAAAGCAGAAAATTACTTTATCAATGAAGTATTCTTGGATACAAATAATATCATTCAATGGGATGGATCATAAAATACTGACCAATGAAGCTGATAAAGATCCACTGAAGTCAGTCCTAGTCGACAAAGGGAATCTTTAAGGGCTGTGAGAACACTTTGACGGCCGAATCTCCACGGCAGTGCAGCAAACTTGGTTGCAACAGCAATCTCAGTGTCTGGATCCGTTTCTTTTCTTTCCTTAATAAATCTTCAGATAACAAACATGGAAGCGCCAATGTGAACCTTTCTTAATCACAAACTGCATGTGGAAATCACGCAATGACATAAGCATGTACCTTCCAAGAAGAGTCTCAGAATTTATGGCTCCTAAAGCAAGCTGAAAAGAGGAACATCTTCTATGAATTTACACTCATCATAGAATTCTAAAACAAATATACACTCACCCCAGAGCCGTAGACTTCAGCAGTGTCAAAAAAGGTTAGACCTCCATCAATACTGACATTGAAAGCATTTTTTGCAGCCTTCTCACTCCTATCTACAATTACCAGAGCCAAAATGAAAACATTCATAATCTCATATTGCCCATTTAGAAACTATTATAACACATTCAACTCTAAACACCACATATATAATCTGAGAAGGAAATGCCAATTCCTGGAGTCTCAAATCTGCAATTTTTATATATTATAGCATCTGATGAAACCTTGAGTAGAAATTAAAAAGACAACTTTTAAAACAAGATACATAAAAAGAAAATTCCAACAGAAACACAAACAATAGACGATTTGTAATAAAATAACTTTCCAAGGTTCATGGAAACATTGGCTACCATAACTACAAAGAATATAGAAATTAAATTGGAATATCCACATTTACAACTAATAAATAATACTGATGAAGAAAGAAAATTGTTTATGCATATCTAGTTATACAGGAAGTTCAGAAATCAGGCATAGTAAGCCTGTGACAGTGGCTGAATAGCAGCTTGCTATCTGCACCAAGTCTTGCCTAATTTTGCCCCCTCTTCATCCTTTTTCACTTATTCTTTTCAATTTCAGTTTACCAACAAATAAACTTTTGGATAATCATATTATGAATCTGAAGTATCCACTGACTTTTCCAATAACTAATCTTCATTGTAAAATCTTGTTAGCCACCTTTACTAGAGTTTTCCCTTCCGACCACATTATATTCATCTACAATACTTGAACTCAAGATTTTTCTTAAGATTAAGAGGACCAAGTCCAATTCCACTCGGACCAACTAACTTGTTGGTCACTTAAAAGAGAGACTGATTACAAGTAATCGATTTGGTATTAAAAATCAAAGAACTGTGACAAATGTATTCTCTGAACTGAAATGCACTTGTTCCAGTTCCCACTTGTTTTAGGATAGACCGAAAACATTATTTATATTGGATATGATTTGATTGAACTATGAAATCAGGTATTTGTGTTCTTTTAAGATCAATTCTTATTTTCACATGTACTTCTCTCCAACATTTTTTATTGGGACCCATCATCGTGGGTCACTAGACCTTAATACCACAAACACGTCATGATCACTATTATGTTTTCAAGTAAGAAACTTTTCACAATCCACATCACTCTTACAACTTACAAGCCAACTGTGCTATAATAGCCCATATATTAATCTAGATAAACATGAAAAATATTACAATAACATCATTAACAGGGATTTCAATTCTTTCCCATCACACCTTCTATTAGACAACTTCCGAAACTTATGGTACAGAAGCTATATACCTAAAATTGGTATTAGACAGCAAATAATGTGACACCCTCAGGTGACGACCAACAAAGAAAGCAACAATCCTCACATTGCTGTCAACTTCCCCACCGCACCAAATGAATGGGAATTATTGCACAATCCAAAAGTCACATACTGATTGCCTAAAAATAAGTTGACTATTTAACACCAACACTTAAAAGCTATTTTCTTGATATGTTGAACTCACTGCCTCCATTATTGAACATTGATACAGTGATACAAAAAAAAAAGTTTAAATGTTTTTTGTTTCTGAAAAATATCACAATTTTTGTTTTAATATCTATAAACATTATATTCATTATTAGGGAGTATCTTTAACAAAATTGAAGTACTTTTAATCATTCATTACACTTACACATGTTTTTAGTCATAGAAGACTAAAATCATATCAATTATTTTTTGGTACGATAACAAATATCCTCTACACAACATACAATTTTGCTTTAGTCAAGTAGGAACATCTGAAATTTTTTTTCTTTCGAGTATTTAATGCATCTAAAAATACTATAAACTAAGGTAAAATAAAACAACCCCATGTCAAATGATCTATGCCTTGGTAAAACCACTTGGTTTTGTTAGATATTAATATTAGAGATAAAAAAAAAAAAATTATAGAGAATGAAACTAAAAATCATGATATTTTCAAGGACAAAACCAATTTAACCCACCCCCAAAACAAAAAGAAAAGGAAAATTACCATTCCATTCAAAATTGTTCCAATAAGTGGTATCACCCCATGACCAAGCTCCAATTCCAACCCTTGTCACCTTCAAATCAGAGCCACCCAACTTCACCTTCTCCTCCACCACTGTATTGAGAGTAGCAGAACCCTCTGAGGCAAGAGCTCTTATTCTGTGAACTCTTGAGTGACACATCACAGTGAAACAACCACTACTTACATAAAGGGCCATGGGGCAAGACAAACTCCAAATTTTGTGGGAGTTCAAAAGGACACAATTTTAAACCAAGGTTTCAAGAATTTATGATATGAGGGTGACAACTAGGAACCCAAATGTTCCTTGGAAATTGAGGGGGGAAATTATGAGCTGAAAATAAGAGAATTGTGGTTTGTATAATGATGGGGATGAAAGGGTACACGTAGTTGCAATCTAGTGGACACTGAACCGTTGAAGCGATTACATGTGGAATGTGGACCAGTTATATTTTCATATTTCAATTCTCAGGATTCTTCATCGTGTAATTTTATCATTTAGGAGATTAGGATATTAAGGAATTTTTTTATTAGAAATGCTTGGTGGTAATAATTAAGACTAATAAATAATATAAATAAGTATGTGATGTTTAATTATGAATATTACAATTTTGTTAATAGAGTTTGAAAATCTAATAATATTTAATTAAAAATTATATTTAAAAATATATAATTATTGATGAGTTATTTTGTAAGATGATTTTGAGACTTCTTTAAGTAAAATATTTAAATACAATATTTGGCTAATACTTTTATTTGGATTTTTGAAATTTTGTATGACTATTTTTTTTCTTTTCTCTTTTTTTTTTTGAACTCACAAACAATAATTATATTTGAAAAATGTTAATAATACATATTTTATTAGAGTTTTTTATTCGTTGAAATTTATTAGAAAATATAAAATTTGATGGATCTCTTTAAAATGATTCTCTTTTCCTCTTTCTCGATTTTATAATTTTTTAAAAATTATGACTAGTAATACTTAATGTGTTAAAAAAAAGTGCATGGGAGAGTTCGAGGTACAATTTGATTCGATTTTTGTCTTAAAAGTCATATGAACTAAAACAAAAAAAAATCAAGTGTGGTTTGGTTCAAATGAATTATAAAATTCAAATCAAATCAAATCAATTTTTTTTTAATTTGATTTGATTTAATTTTTGAGTTTTAAAAATCTTATATAAAAATCAACTAAAAATATATAATATTATTTGTTTAAGATCATATGAAAAAAAACTAAAAGTATACAAATACTAAAATATTTCAGTTACCTAATGCATTTAATACCAATTCTTATCTTATTATTTTAATAAAAAGATTTATTTAATATGATTTTAATTATCATATTAAATATTTTTTTTCAGTTTGTCACTTAAAAAATATTTTTGAATATTAAATAAATCATAATTTTTCATTATAAAATTCAGTTTTTAAAAAATAAAAGATAGAACAATTATAAAATTCAGTTTTTCAATATAACATTTAGTTTAGTAGCTTATAATTTTATAAAATACCTTTTAAATATTATAACATATATTTGGAGAGAAAAAGACTTTTTAGTGCCTTTACAATTTTATAAAACACCTTTTATGTTATGAGTCAATTTTGTATACATGTACTATGCATCTAAAAAAGAGTTTAATTTGGTTTATAGTAGTTTCAAATTTAAATTCGAAAATCAAACCAACCTGTGCAATTTTAAAAATTTAAAAATCAAATCAAATCACTAATTTACGATTTTTTACCGATTTTCAATTTTTTAATCTAGTTTGCAATTTTTCGTTTGGGTTGGTTCAGTTTTGAACACCCTAATTGTTAATACTTTTTTTTTTTATATATTATAGTGAATGGGCCAAAGATATTTGTAGCATGACAAAAAACATTCCTGTTCCTGTTTCTATTCTTTCTCTTTTCTTTTGTCCATTTTTGTATCTACTAGAATCGATGAATAAGTTATTAGCATTTTTATTTCTAAATATTAAGTACTTAAAATTATTTTGAATTATTAAATATTATTTATGATTTAAATCACTTTTAAATTATAAAATATTTAAAAATAACTAATGTTTATTTCAAGCATTTTAAATTATTTGAAATTTAAAAATTCTTCATCCAAAACCTTAGTATAATTATGTACAATATAACAGAGCATCACACTTGAAGCACGATCATGCATACCCACCAAAGGCTCATAGTTGAACATAATGCCCAAGACGCTTATGCTAACATTATACATGATCTTGGTTGGAAGACTCTTCTTCATATGGAAGCATGGCCATGTTGACATCAAATAAGGTTATGCTCAGAAAGAATGTATTTCTTTTAGACATGGAGACAATGCTACATTAAGAACAGTTGTGCTTAAAAGTGAACATTCTACTTCGAATAGGAAACACCACCTTAACATGCTTTCACTTGAGGAAGCACACTCATGCTAACTAAAAGCATTTCCATAATTGAGTATTGATGCATAGTTGTGCCTTGATTAACAGGACTTTGCTTTCCCTTCTACTCATTAAAACAAATTGTGCATTTAAAAAATAGGAGACAAAAAGAATAAACATTATCATTAGATCAATTTTGACCTCTATCCACACAAAGACAAGGAAAAGCATGAAGTACCTGTAAAAGACCTTAAGAACAAATAACAATGGTGAGAATGAAGAACGAGGACCATCACCTATAAAGGAACTCCCCCCCCCCCCCCCCCCCCCCCCTCCCTCTGTTTTTTTTTTGTTGTGTATTTCTATTTGCATTAGGTTGTCTTCATTTTAAATTTTTTGGCTAGGGTTATGACTTTACATTTATTTGAGAACCCCAATTTATAATTTTATGTGAATTCTTTATTTATGTTTCTGAATTGAATTGCCATATCCCTTTTATTTTTGTTAAGAAATAATCATCTTTTGGCATGTTCTTAATAAATTGTGTGACAACCATACCATAGTTAATTGGTAGAATTTTAGGGAAATTTTGTTAAGATTAATGCTTGAGCAAACTTTAATCCAAACTCACAATTAGGTTAATCAAATTTTACCATCCTCTCTACATGCTTGTTCTAAGTTAGCTTCTTACATGACCAATTGAGGGTTAATATGGAAAAAATATTATTTCAATTCATCATCAATAATTGTAAATTGAACTTTAAGAGTAAAAAAAGGAATAAGAAATTAAATAGAGGTCCGAATAGCTTTTGAATCAGAAAATTGAAAATATTTGTAAAACCATAACCTTATGCTTCTTTGTTATTGAACTTTCAATTGTGTTTTTCTTTACTTGTGACTAGTTTTGTCCTCTTAAATTCTTTGCCTAAACTCCACAAGGGCTCTTGATTTTGATAATTAATAATTAGTCCCCTAAGTACTATATATGGATTCACGTCCATGTTATTAATGCAATAGGTTACACTTGCTCTTAACCATATTTTAAACACATCAAACAACAAGTTCCTCAACTAGATTGATAATGAGACAACATTAAGAAAATCTACTAAAGTCAAAAGGTTAATAATTCCTAGTGATTATGTTGTGTACCTACAATAATCAAACTATAACATTGTAGTTGAAAATGATGCTAAATCATTTTCATAGGTCATTAGTTCTAAAGAATTAAACTTGTGGTATAATTGCATGAAAATGTGATGGACTCTATGACATTTATTCAAGTATGAGATCTCGTTGAGTTTTCTAATGGTGTAAAATCTATTAGGATTAAATAAGTCTTTAATACAAAAAAAATACTTACAAGATAACATTTGAGAGACATAAGACAAGACTTGTTTCTAAAGGATTCACCCAAAGATAAAGATTTATATGCATAGAGATAACTTCTCTTGTATCTAAGAAATATTATCTTCAAGTAATTATAACATTAACAACTCATTTCGAATTTGATTTACATTAAATGGTTGTGAAAATGATGTTCCTCAATGGTGATCTTAAGGAAAAGATTTACATTAAACAACCTAAAAGATTCTTCTTTAGTAATGTTAAACACTTAGTTTGCAAATAAGGCCATCTATCCATTAAAACAAACTTCCCATTAGTGGTATTTAAAATTTCCTAAGGTCATAACATCATTTAGTTTTGAAGAGAGATAATTATATATACTCAAAGGTTGGTGGGAGTGAGATTCATTTTCTTGTGTTATATGTGGATGATATTTTGTTTGGGACTAATTATGAAGGATTACTATATAAGGTGAAACAAATTTTGAAAAAACAAACAGGCTATTACATAAGAAGGATGGTTGAATTATGCATTTAAATTTTTTTAAAAACCCTTTAAAAATAGTTAGATTTTCTCAAACACAAATTGGAACAAATCGTCCAATGTACATAAAACATAGAGTAAGGAAGAGAAAAACACACAAAGTTTTTTTATTGGTTCACTCTAACTTAAATCTATGCCTAGTCTTTTCCTCACTAAGGGATTTTTACTACTGATCAAATTGAATACAACAAAGTATTATTTCTTTCCAAGCCTTTTTAGACTTTACAACAAAATGCAAAAAGACTAAAGTGTTTAACACATAAGAGTGAGAATATAGAGGTTACAAATAAGTGTATCACCTAACACTCTACTAATATACAACATATTGTTTCATTACAATGATTGTCCACTCAATAAATTAAGTTTTTTTCACAAATAACTTTTCTTTATTTGGGACTTGTATGAAACCTTTTCACAAAGGGTAGACAATCTTCATCTCTATGTCTTTAGAGGTCTTCTATTTATAATCATATAGAGAAAGATGTTTAAAAGTTCAAAACCATTTTATTAGCAAACATATTCATGCATATCTTGCACAAAGGTACTGTAGGTTCTTTATCTTCTAGCGCTAAAGGCGAGAACAATTGTTATAATTGTCATAGTAGGTCAACATGGGCATGCTTAATTTAAGCATGGTTGTGTTGAAGAAGCAAGTCCATGTTCAATTGTTAGATCAAGGGACAAACTATAAAACTCCTCAAAAGTTATGTTTTAATGTTAACAAACATAAACAATTTTGCAAAAGCATAAAAATATCAATCGCTAAAGACAATAGCTAAAATCACATTATATGACGATATAACGTAATTTGTATGCATCATATATAGCTTATTAGAATAAACATATCATCTACCTTAGATGAATGCTTTAAATATCACATTTAATATATCTAATATTTGTATCATCTACTTTCATTATATTACTTAACAGATCAAAAGAACAAGAATTTTTTTTGGTACCATAGTAGATAAGGGAATAAGGTTTTGTTTTTCGTTAGGAAAAGGACAAACAAATATCTTGAATTACGTAAAGTCAACCAAAAGTTGTTTTCAACTAGAATATTATACAATTCCTTTCATTTTGCACCTTAAAGGT